TCGTCACTGTATTGCTCTGGCGTCGGAGGCGTAGGAGGAGCCGACAGAGCCAGGGGGCGAGATGGCGACATGGTGGCGAGCTCGGGTTCCTCCTCTTCCCCCTTCTCAGACTCCTCCCTCTTACAGCAGTAATACTGGACCAGGTGAGAGTCAAACATTTAAAAAGACAAACGGTTAACCAAAGGAGAAAAGAAGGAGCACTTTCAAAACAAATGTCTTGATGCATTCTCAATCATCCAGGTAAGTAAATCTCCAAAAGTTGATTCTGTTCATCTGGACAAAACGCTACGTCCAGATGAACAGAATCAACTTTTGGAGAGTTTCAAATCATGTTTCAACCAATCGGATCCGTGTTAACTATAAGTATAAACCACAGTAAATATAGGGCGTGAAAAAACAAGCTGGTTTGTGTAACTTTGAAAGATAGCGAGCGAGTGTAGTCAGCTAGTTGGCTTGTCTTTGTCTGAATCTTAACATTTTCATGAAAGCAATGAACCGTCTATCTATGACCACCTACTGCTAACATGGAAGAAATCAGGTGTAAACAGAATCACAAAGATGAAGAACAAACTGCCAGATGAGGAGCTTTCAAAGCTAGGAAGTAGCTAGCATATACTTGGCGTTTCTGTGAGAGCATGAAAGGCACTTGCAGACCATCACTTTCAAATGATATTTGGCAGGTGATTACAAAAAGCATCCATCACTCCTAAAACTACAGTTGCAACCTTACATGCTAACTGCTAGGACTCACTCAGGAAGAAAACATGTGGATGTGAGTTTGTGAAAGTCTCAGAAAAAAGTCCCATTCGGTTTTAAAGGTTTTACAGTTGAGGATTATTTCAACATGAGCTATTTGCTATTAGTGTGTATGCTCTGTCTCAGCAGGTTGTGTTGCACTATTTGGATGTCAGCTGTAGATTTCTAAAAAAAAAAAAGAAGCAAGATTGTTACACAAATCCAGTCTGGCTAAAAGTAAACACAGAAATGTTCCACTTGGACTACTTTGATAATTAGGAAAACTGTCTGGGGCAGCAAATTACTCCCAGCTTTTTGCACTGCACACATCATGTGTGAACATTTGTCAAGTTTCTTGTTTTCACGAATACGGTGCTGAGGTGCATTTTGCATTCTGTTAAACTTTAGATGTGTAATGAACAGTGAGACAATCATACCTGCAACCTACATAAACACAGCACAGCGACGATCGTCAGTAAGATGACTGTAGCCAAAATTCCTCCTGCGATGACCACTGTCCCGGCTGACATCCGAAATCCTCTCCATCAACACCCTGCAATCAAAGCAACGAGTCAGAGTTTATTTTTTGGTTCGAGTAGTTTAAAGGACTTCACACATGACTGAGAAACCAGGAATTATTCATCCGTACAGCCATTTTTGGCAGTTTATTTTTGTTTGTGGTGCAAACCCAGATCAGTGATTGAACCTGGTTAAATGGTCAAACACGGAAGCAACATATATATGATTGCTTTAAAGGAAACTCAATCAAAATCCAGATGGAGAGAACGCCTTAAGTTTAAAATTATTTTAAACTTTTCTCAGAAGAGAAGGGAAAAGGGAGAAGGAGACCACAGAGGGAATATTAGCAGGGTTTTCCTGACTCACACTGGGATTTGGCTGGTGACTGACCTGCGTAAGGACAATTAGTCAGCATAAGAGCAATGAGTCTGCAATGAGTCTGCAATGAGTCT